CGTGTGAGTGTGACTTAGGTAAGGCATAAGTATCACGTGTGAGTTAGGTAAAGAATATCTAAGGGAATATGCTTTGTAATATTCTTTAGAGATTGTAATATAAATAGAGGCTTTGGTACGCGTTGTAAACCAAACCAAGTGTGAGAGAAAACATAAGAGTCTTTGTTGTAATCCTTTGAGTGTTCTTATCAATAAAGTTTTCCCTTTGTTTATACATCCTTGTTCTTAAACATTTATCTTTTGTCCCTTTGATCCTGCGAAAACCTCCTACGTGGTTGTACCCACTATGTGTCTGTAAATTTGGTATTAGAGCCATGGCAGTCTAAACTTGAAACTCTTATCTTTCTGAGAGGTTTGATATCTGTGAGTTTTCTTCTGTCATAAGCTTTATGAAAAGTATGCTCTATGGTTGCCACTTCGTTGGATCTTCCATATCAGAAATTCATTAGGCTAAGAAAAGAAAGGATATATGTTAAGATATTCGTGGAGTTATAAAACTCATGGAACCTTGAGACTCAAGATGATGATGTTATTGTCTCGGTTATTTGGTAAACACCTCATGAATGTTTTCACTTATATTCTCAGCACTTAAAAAAAAAAAAGAAACTCGTGGTTTATAAAGCCTGAAAGAATAGATAAGAGTTAGAGTATTATGTCTTAGTCTCTGGTTTCAATATACTTATGGAAAATACTTCTCTTATTCCGCGTCAGTCCTCTTTTAGAAGATCTACCTCTAATAAAATAGATTATGTATGAAGTAGAATATGTGAGTGATGATACTAAGGTTCCTGTCACCCAACTACCCCTTCTCAATCCCTACAAAGCCTTTACAAAACCAAATACCACCCTTCCAAAAGTCTTAAAACATGCTTTCAATCCTAACAAGCGCACAACGAAGGAGCTTGTTCTAACTTCACAGTTAGAACAACACTTGGTGCCAGCAACTGAAATGGAGCAGATGATCCCTCTCCGTCTAAATGAGGTGATGATCCATCAGTGGAGATCACAAGGTTTCACCCATCTCCATTACGGAGCAATAAGATTGGCGTTAACTCTTCACGGAAGAAAAGGTCTACCAGTGGTAGCAAGAGTCGCTCTCCTTGACACCAGATACAAGGAGTATCAGCATGCTTGCATAGCCACTCTCCAGACCACTTTAAATGTGGGCACAGTCTTCGTCACCCTCTTTCCAAACTTCAATATAGCGCTTGATGATCCTCAGATCTATCAAAACATGCAGATCCAGTTACAAATCACTGGCGCTCCTCAAATTGGGAACACATATGCCGCAACTCTTCACCACCAGATGGCCTATAGGGTGCAAAATCATGCGATGGATTTGAGTCTCCCACGTGACACAGAAGATGCACTGCTCATACAATTGGAGTCACAACACAGTCCATCATGCATCCATATTCCCAGATAAATCTCTAAAAAAGAACTGATCAAGTTACTTCCGGAGTCATGGGTAACCAACTATGAAAAACTTCATGAAAATAGCACTCTGATACAATCGGTAGACTCCTCTATTAGCAGAAGAAAAGATGGAGCCATCCATATAGAGTTCAAACAACAAGGCAGTACAAGTTCTCGACCTCCAGCCTTTTGTACGGAAATCAATACGATCTCACGACCTGAAGAGCCTCCATCTCTAGAAAATCCGTACCTGCTGGGAGTTCCAATCGAATCCTTCAATTCTCTTGGAGACACTATCTATTCATTCAAAGATGATATAGGTCACAAATTTTTTGATGTTTGTGACTGTCCAAACTGCTTGATGAATGATTCGGATGAAGACGATATTCCAAAACGAAGGAAACAAAAGAAAAAGTCATCTCAACAGACGCTCAAAGAACGATACGAGTTAGGAGATCCAGAGGTTGGCCTTCTTGGAGAACCCAATGGAAATAATTTTGAATACTATGTCTTGTATTCAAATAAATCAGCCCCAACAACTCCTGAGCCCGAAGATGTCAAAGATTGCTACATGTTTGGTCCGATATCCTCTCAAGGGTCGATCTTCCCATCCCGAGAGTTTGAGTAAGGCAATATGAAACATTCGTGGAAGATCAAAAATCCAAATACCAAATATCCAGACAGTTCAACGGTACAGATCAGTGCAGCTGAGGCAACTCTAAACTGGCAAACAGAGAACGCGGTGGCACACAACCATCTCTTAAGCCAGATTGACAGGAAAGTATCCATCTTGGATCTTTCTATCAATGAGATCAACAAAAATATATCTTCTCTTCATAATGAACTCCTCCACTTGGCAACTACTGTTTCTATAACCTCCCCTCTTATGCATCAAAAGGAGTCAGAGCTAAAAAACCTCAAAACCCAACTAACCTCCTTACAAAATCAGCCAAAAACTCAAATCCAATTTCCATATGATATCTTCACTCCTTATCCAATTTATAACCCACCATATATGGCCCAAACACAACCCTTATCNTTCTCCCAAGATCCAAGCTATTTTGGTGCATCCTCCTTTTTGCCAACACATGTTGTTAAGAGACAACATATTACGAAGGAGAAGAAATCAAATGTTGTAGAAAAAGGAGAAACTTCAAAGGCGCATATTTTTGAAATTCCAAAAGAGCGGGCGCATATTTCTGAAATTCCAAAAGAGTAGTCTTCACCTGAGAAAAGTGAAGCACAATTTATGGTGGACCATGCTAGTAACCCAATATCTACCTTTCTTGAAAAGGTAGTAAAACAAGAAGGAGGTTCTCAGCATCAGAAGAAAATCAAAAAGTTGGAGAATCTACAAGAAAGTTCAAAAGATGAGGCTGAAATTCCAGACTTTCTAATGGCAGAACAAACTGTAAAAGAAGAAGATATAGAGAGTGATGGAGGAAACATATCTGAAGATAGACAAGAGCCTCGAGGAGCACAACCTCCCCCAGATGGGAGTCCAAGAACCTATACTGAATCCCATCCTGGTTTCTCTTTTGATAATATTTCACCGGCGAAATAGAGAGACAAGATTTATGAAATGCATGCATGGCTTACTGAGCAAATGCTTAATCCAGGTGCTACTCTTCCTGTAGTCATTGACAGGATGGTCTCAAAATTCCACGGTCGCCTTCGGCAATGGTGGATCAGTCTTGGACAGTACCGACAAATGCAAATACGTCANTCACCATCANTAGATGCTCTAATTGGTCACATCCACAACGAATTTTTTGGTACGTGCGATCACTATACCGTCCAGGCAAGAGAAGAATATCTGAACATCAGATGTTGTTCTTACAAGAGGAAGGATTTGGAGAGACATTATGAAAGAATGTCTAAGAGATTTTACGCTTTAAATGGGATAGATGATGTTAATCTCAAGCAGGCCTACTTGAACTCACTTCCAGAACCACTTGGAAATGAGACTTCAAGAGTGTTGACACTCAAGAATATGGTCCTTAACCAAGCATCATTAGGAGAGATATACCAGATGTCGCTTGCAGCTTTGGACAAATTATGCAACCATCAAAAAAATTTCAAACAGTTGCAAGAGCAAGGAAAACTCCTTGGAAAAGCATGTGATCGCCCAGAACTCTCCATCAAATGCAAGAAAAAGAGTTGTAATTGCTCAACAAGCTACAAAAAAGCTAAGAATCCCAAGAGCAAATGGCGGAAAAGGTATCCTCAATTATCAGGAGGAAAGAAATGGAAATTATTCAGAAGAAAGAAGCAAAGAGGTTTCAAGAAGTCAGACAGATACTACATCTGTAAGAAGAAAGGACACTATGCTAAACAGTGCCCAAACAAGAAGAAAATAGACAACCTCATGGGATACCTAGCCAAAATTGAAGATATTGATGACTCAGATGTCGAGTCCATCTTCTCNCTNGATGATGAACCAACGGAAGACACTATTCTAGCCATGGGAATAGANCAAGAAGATAGTTNGTCAGAAAATACTGAAGAATCTGACACAGAAGAGGAAGATGATCAATTTAAGGAGTTTGATCTCTATATGCTTGATATTTGCAAGGCAGAGCAGCCAGTTGAAAGGGGGTAGGCATATCTGTCACAACCATCTCCAAATGCCAAGATCTACATTTTTCCCAGCAAATATGACAAGCCTATACCGGTTATAGCTTATTTCGACACAGGATCTGCATCTTCCATCATAAAGTCGGCCATACTTCCAGATTCTCATTGGGAACCATGCTCGATGGCGTTCAAAGCAGCTAATGGCCAAACATTCACCATTTCACTCATCAGTAAGCCCATCTATATCCAACTATTTCCAAGATATATGATTAAATCTAAAGTATATGGGTCTAATCTTCTGGGAAAAGACTTTATACTTGGATTTGATGTCTTACACAGCCTCAAAAGAGTGTCTTGGCACCCAAAAGGTCTTAAACACAAAAACCATGTTTTACCCTGGACCACAATTTCCCATCTATACCCCATGGAGATCCTTAATCCCATCAAGGAAGAGATTGCTAAAACCTCATGCGCCACCTCTCATTCGGAGTTCCTAACCAAATGCTCTTCGCTTCTGTGGAAGAATCCAGACTTCTTCATCTCATTACCATTCAAGAAAAATGAAGATGTCAATCCAACTAAGGCGAGTCACCCTGGAATGAACCCAGATCATTACAATCTTGCACTCAAAGAAGTAAACCAACTCCAGAAAGAAGATCTTATTGAGAAGACTACTTCACCATGGGCGTGTAAAGCTTTTTATGTCAACAAGAGAGCATAACAAGTTCGAGGGAAATTGAGACTGGTTATCAACTACCAGCTACTCAACTATTTTCTTGCAGACGACAAGTTTCCATTACCAAAGCGAGAGGTCTTATTCCAAAGACTTCCTCAGGCCCAAGTCTTCTCCAAATTCGACCTAAAGGCAGGATTCTGGCAACTTGGAATCAAAC